TCATCGCGCGCGGAGTCTGGGCGAATACAAGTGTCGCCATCGTGCTTATATACTTCATCCTTACCGGACTTGCTCTAGCATCGCTTTCCATCTTGGGCGCTGCATTTTTCAAGAGATCACAGCTGTCGGGTGTTGTGACTGTGATAGCGTATATTCTGTTAGCAATCCTAGCTCAGACGCTGACATCGCCTAGTACTGCTACAGTCACCGCCCTTAGTTTGCTTTTCGTATGTATTTCTCAGAATCGTTCAATCCTCCACCTTTCCTCGCCATCTTAGAAGTCAATGTTTTCCGAATGAGTCGGCTATTGGGCTTTAGGTTTTCGAGATGCGTCTTCTTTTTTATGACACCCTCACCACTTCTTAAACGAAGTAGTCACTAATAACTTCTTACTCTTATAGACGCCTTGTAACTTTGTTTGGTTTATGACTTTTATAGCGAGATGGGAAAGGTACTCATTTCCGGCAGACCTAGTCCGTACACCGCCAGAAAATCCATGGAACTTACCTGGCATTGTTTTCTGGGTATTTCTCATTCTTCAAATATTTATATACCCCATCATCGGCGCTTACCTAGAACGCGTTTTTCACGGCACAACTACGAAGGGCCGTACAATCCTCCAAGGCCGAACCGCCGAAACGGCACCACCTGATGCTGTTCGTCTTGAGGGATTTACAAAGATCTATTATCCTAACCCCCTAACTCGATTACTTCCCTTCAGCTCAACGCCTAAGGAGCCAGTCGTAGCTGTTGATAAGTTGACCCTTACCGCGAGAAGAGGACAAATTTTAGCTTTACTCGGTGCTAATGGTAGTGGAAAGAGTACCACGCTCGACTCAATTGCTGGTATCAGTAAATTGACTAGTGGCGATATCACAATTGACGGTACGGGAGGGTTAGGTATTGCACCGCAAAAGAACGTATTATGGGATGAATTGACGGTTGAAGAGCACATCAGAGTCTTCAATAGACTAAAATCCCCAGGGAATACGGCATCCACAAAAGAGATCCGTGACTTAGTGGAAGCCGTAGATCTTGGACCAAAAGTCAAGGCCATGTCTAAGACTCTGTCTGGTGGTCAAAAGCGAAAGCTGCAGCTCGGAATGATGTTGACTGGTGGGAGCGCCGTCTGCTGCGTTGATGAAGTCTCTTCCGGAATTGATCCTTTGTCTCGACGCAAGATTTGGGATATTCTTTTAGCTGAACGAGGGAGACGAACAATCATTCTCACAACTCATTTCCTCGACGAAGCTGATCTCCTTGCCGACCATATTGCCATCCTCTCTAAAGGAACTCTCCGAGCTCAAGGATCTTCTGTCGAGCTTAAGGATAGACTTGGTGCCGGTTATCGAGTTCATGTCTTCAACGCTAGGGAGATCAAGGATCCTCCTGAAGTTGAGAACGTTACCCGCAAGATAGGGTTTGATGTGATCAGTTACATCGCGCCATCTTCCAGTCTCGCTGCGGAAGTAATACGCTCCCTCGAAGCCGCGGGGATCCAGGATTATAAGTTCTCAAATCCGACTATTGAGGACGTTTTCCTTCAAGTGGCTGAAGAAGTTAAAGGTGAAAGTGCTGTCAAATCACCACAGACCCCATCGTCTGCCGAAGGGAGCAGCGACAAGCAAGCGAATTCCGAAGAAGTCGGAGCTAGCGAGATAGAGAAGGATGGGTTAGAGCTCCTGTCAGGACAGCCTATTGGTTACATGAGACAGACGGTAATTCTATTCAGGAAGAGATGTACTATCTTCAAAACGAACTGGTTTCCTTACGTGGCAGCCTTCTTAATCCCGATCATAGCAGCGGCTCTAACATCCCTCTATGTTACGGATCAACACCCGGTTGGATGCAACCCAGCCAGCCAAAGCTCGGCTGATACATCAGATACTTCGAATCTCTATGACAACCTATTCTTAGTTGCCGGTCCATCTTCACAATTCAATAACGCAACTATAGAAAGGCTTTTCGCCCCTACACTCCAAGGCCTGAGTCTAAGCCAGAATCAGAGTCAGACTCAAGGTCTATCCGGATCTAGCAATGCAACAACATCCGGATATGCTGCCGTAGCCGTGTTCCTTGAAAGTTTGCATCTTGTCGATTCTTTAGATGAGTTCAATACTTTCATCGAACAGAGGCGAAAAGACGTCAAACCTGCCGGATGGTGGCTTGGAGATACCAATTCTGTACCTACCATTTCGTACGAAGCAGATGCCGGGGATGTCTACACTTCAGTCTTCGGTCAGAACGCATTAGACATCATGTTAACCAATACGAGTATCGCCGCGAATTACGCACCCTTCGATACGCCCTGGGCACCATCAACTGGGGATTCTCTTCAGTTGCTGATCTACTTTTGTCTGGCTCTTTCTATTTATCCCGCTTTCTTCGGCCTCTATCCGAACATCGAGAGGCGGCGAAACGTCCGTGGGCTACAATATTCGAATGGAGTTCGCTCCCTTCCGCTTTGGGTTGCTTATACGGCATTCGACTTTGCAATCGTCCTTGTTTCCTCTGCGCTCGCTACCGCCGCATTTGCCGCGTCGTCAGATGTTTGGTATCATGTCGCCTATCTCTTCCTCATTTTCATACTATATGGGTTGGCATCGATCTTATTCTCATACGTCATCTCGCTCTTCTGCGGTAATCAATTGTCGACTTATGCCTTCTCCGCAGCTGGCCAAGCAGTCGGGTTTCTGATTTATCTAATCGCCTACTTGTGTGTTATCACGTACTCGTCGGTTCAATCTATCGACAGTTCCATACTCGTCGCACATTTTGTGATTTCAGCTTTTCTACCCATCGGCTCTGTTGTTCGAACAATGTTCATCACCCTCAACCTCTTCTCCGTAACGTGTGATGGAGACCAAATCCAACCTAACCCTGCCGCTCTAACTGCCTACGGAGGACCAATCCTGTACTTGGCCTTGCAATCAATTCTCTTATTTGGCTTCTTATTATGGCACGATAGCGGATCGGGAAGCAGCATTTTAAACCGGTTCATGAAAAAGCCTGCTCCACCTTCCAACGATCCAGCTGGTTTGGACGAAGAGGTAGCTAACGAACTCGTCCGCGTGACCAGCACAGCACAAGAAAATGACGGTCTCCGAGTCTTACACTTGACTAAGTCATTCGGCAAAAACACGGCTGTCGATAACGTCACGTTCGGCGTTCAGCACAGCGAAGTCTTTGCCCTATTGGGACCCAACGGTGCAGGCAAATCCACAACCATTTCTTTGATCCGCGGCGACATCCAACCCAGCCGCAACGGAGGCGACATCCTCGTCGAGAACACATCCGTCAGCCGGAGACGCGCCGAGGCTCGCGCCCACCTAGGCGTGTGTCCCCAATTCGACGCCATCGATTCCATGACCGTTCTCGAACACCTACGCTTCTACGCGCGCATCCGTGGTATCCCCGATATCGAGCACAACGTGCGCGCCGTCCTTCGCGCCGTGGGCCTAGAGGCGTTTTCCACGCGCATGGCGCACGCCCTGTCCGGCGGCAACAAGCGCAAGCTGAGCCTCGGCATCGCGCTCATGGGTAACCCCAGCGTGGTCCTCCTCGACGAGCCCTCCTCGGGCCTGGACGCCGCCGCGAAGCGCATCATGTGGCGCACACTGCACTCCATCGTGCCCGGCCGCTCGATCCTGCTCACGACGCACAGCATGGAGGAGGCCGACGCGCTGGCGAACCGCGCCGGCATCATCGCGAAGAGGATGCTGGCGATGGGGACTACCGAGAACCTGAGGCAGAGGTTTGGCGACGCGCTGCACGTGCACCTGGTCAGCAAGACGGCGCCGCACTCGAGCGCCGAGGAGATGGATAGGATCAGGGAGTGGGTTTCGAGCAAGTGGCCAAGCGCCCAGGTCGAGGCCAAGACGTACCATGGCCAAATGCGGTTTTCCGTGCCCGCTGCTGCGGTGGCGGGGGCCGGCGAGAAGGGTGGCGTGAGCAGTAGCGGGAGCGCGGTTGGCCAGCTTATCGTCATACTAGAGGAGCACAAGGAAGAGCTGGGGATCGAGCACTACTCGTGCACGCCGACGACGCTGGACCAGGTGTTCTTGACGATCGTGGGGAAGCACAATGTCCAGGAGGAGGGGTATACCGAGAAGAAGAAGAGTTGGTGGAGTTGGAGGTAGGAGATAGGAGGCGTATATAAAGTGGCATTGAAGATACTTACCTAGGTATAGAGAGATTTAGCATATGGCACTGCATAGAAAGGGGTCACGCTATAGAGATTCATGGACGGTTGGTTGTATTGATATGTAAGACATAAATGAGAAGCAATAGGTGGCTTTGATCTGGGTTTACTTGTACCATACATAGGTTGATGATACCTTGTAATATACGCTCAATGATAAGAGTTATGACAATGAATCATACCTGGTGCCCGCTGATGGAGTTTATAGTGGAGGGTCTTCGCTGATAGTACGGCGACCATTCGGACTTTGAAAGGGGTACCTGGGTAGGTACCTACCTAGTCAAGATCAATAGTTTAGTTTCCTTTATGTTCTATATCTACCTACTAAAATAGATTTAATGTTCCTTTAATATTGAGATCAAGTTACAGATATATAGGTACCTACCTACCTAGGAGGATTGGTTAATATTGTGCGATATAAAATAATGTGGATCCCCGATCTGAGGGTTTCCGCAGCAACGCTTGGACCACCTGCGGTGGCAAGCGTTGGCTGCTGAGATAACCTCAGATCGCATGTAAATCTAAGCTAGTTATGAAACCTAGATTAATCAACAATTTACCACACGAGTTTATCCTTACCAGTACTGAATAGCGTCTATTGCACATAGACGATATTCCGTACCATTAGGAGGCTCGGAAGCACAATAAGAAGATTCTCGGTTATCTAATCTGCCAAAAAGGTAATTGACTAAAAAACCACTATTATTTCATAAGTACTGAACACTCACAACCGAAGAAACAAAAAGAGGAAAAATAAAGCGATCATCTCCTAGCTTGTAGAAGATGATCTGAAAATAAGGGGTCTGACCGGGGATTGAACCCGGGACCTCTCGCACCCAAAGCGAGAATCATACCACTAGACCATCAGACCGCGGATGATGAAACTGTGTTTAAAGATGGATTATATAGCTAGCGCGTTGCTGAGTGCGAAGAGAATGATTGGTTTGCGCCTTTGACGGTAGGCATGTGATAGTGCGTTCCCGAAAGTCTTGGCAGTGGAAATGAAGACAGTGCGAAAGAAGGTGCACGTTAGGGGCGAGTGCTCACGTAACAAAAGTGAACCAGAAAGCAAAAAGATTTCCTGTAACTAAGTCAAATATTAAAAATTGTAATACGAGGGGTTTGCAATGAATCAATAAAGTTATTTCGGTGATAGAGGGAAAAAATGCGGGAAGAGAATATTATGTACCATTCTCAATTTTAGTTTGAGAGTTTGGTGCAGATGCCAAACGTGGGCATAAGTGCGCACCCGAGTTGCAAACAGCAAGCTGGAATCGAAGCCTTGGTTAAGTCCTCTACTTTTGACGGGCGCCATATCCAAGAAACATCTAACCCCTGACAAGAGTATAGAGTAGGGAATCGAATTCATATAGGCTACATATTTTTCATATGATCTTCTAACCAAGCAGCAGCCAACTCCTCCCCTTTGCTACCCAGTTCGAAATCACCCGTACTGAACCCCACGTCCTCGAGTTGAACCCTCCTAGCGGCTTCATTCTCCCAGCTGTCGAAATCGTTGTCCCACTTAAAGCGCTCTTTCAACTCGACCTTATCGATACTCCTACGCATCAATCCGGCGAGGTCTTCAGCCTGAGTCTTGAAGTTATTCCCTAGATTCTTCTTGCGCCTCTGCCATCTCCTGAAGAGCGAAGGTGGCGGCGGTGGCGGTGTGGAGTGCAGCAGCAATGCTTCGGGTATCTTCAACGTCGATTTTCTTGGCGGAAACACAAGTGGGCTTTTCCTCGGTGATTTCGTGGGCATGAATAACTCAGGCGCGTCCTCCGGTAACAAGGCTAAGTCTTCCGGAAGCAAGTCCGCCGGAGCGAGGGCCGTCGCGTTGAAATCCGGCGGCACGAAGAGCCCCGGGGTATGGAACAACAAGCATGAACTTACAAAGGGGTCGAAAAGATTGTCAGGTTTTACGAATAGTTCTTTGGCGTGCTGCCTCAACTCCAGGAACTCGGGATCCTCCGCCGGCGGGCCTAGAATCTCCTCTAGGATATTCCTCGGGCCATGCTTTGGGGCCTGGTTCATTCGGTGGTCGGGGAGAAACGTAGTCCAATTGTATATCCCGTTGTAGGCGACGCATCCTCGAATACCCATCCGCGCGTGAGGGTGAGTTTCGGTTAGAGCTAGCGAGATTGCCAGTGATGCACTGAGATAAGAGCCGTAGACGTATACATCCCGACGCGTATAAGCGGAAGGACCGAGGTTCTCTACGATCCAGTCATATGCCCTTGCCGTGTCGTGGATAGGAGATGGCCAGGACAAGTGAGACCATTCATCTTCTGATGACTCCTCTTCAGACTCCGAAGCGTGTGAGCCCGTGTCCTCGAAAAGGGGATAGCCAACCCAGCGATAATTTATCACAGCAGTTGGCCGTCTCTGGATAAACCGTGGCAGCTCTGCAGGCCTATCTGAAAACGCTGTTGAGTATGGTGGCAGATATATTAATAAGGGATCTGGCGATGACACCTTGGCAATATTATGTAGACTGGTCACTCGCTCACAAGTTAGAAATAAGGAAACATAAGGAAACAATTCCATATAAATAGTATGATTGCTTACTCAATAGTGACAATGCCCGAGGAGCCGCTGCGAAAACTCACACGTTCTACATTATTGACAGCAACACTAAAGCACCTTGAATTCCGGCGGCGAAAGCCTAATAATATCGAACCTCTAGTCGGGATCCATCTTCTCATCTTCCCTCTACGGCTTCCTGTTTACGAAGCATTGATTCAATGATAGTTAGGTATTGTAGAGAGAAGAAATAGCGCAGTATGAATTTCTGTCAGGCACGTGACCGGATACGATCGATTGTTCGTTGACGACACTAGGCAGAAGTTGAAGATAACAGGTATTTTGACGCGTCGAGCGATGAAAAATGAGGTGGGATTGATTCATGAGATTGGGTCGTTCCAGAATGCCTTAACGGCTTTAGCGGTTTAGTGAAGGTTCTAGCCATGCAGGCAGCCAATCATGTCGCATTCCAGCGGGTTGTTACGCCCCTACCCTAGTAGATCGGACACTACAGTACCCATTAGCTCCGCGATCCAATGTCAAGCGACGTCATGTCACATTAAATTACTCCATCGCCTGACCCTCCTTTGTCTATCGTTCATATTTTATATACCTCCAAGGTTACCTACCTACTTATACATAAACATATCTATAGCATGGCACTCGAAGCCAAGACCTTTAATTATACCTTGTATAACTAACACTAATCAGTATAGACTAAACCATACGACTCCTAAATTAATAACCGAGATAGAAGGGCATGGATCAATTCGAAAATCTCTACCGTCCTCTCCGCGAACCTATAAACTACCTTAGAACCTAAGTATGAGAGGCTACTCATAAAAATAGAGATGGACGATGCAGATCTTGGTAATAACATCGACGAGCAAGCACAAGTCGTCGATGGCCTGGATCACCAAAAGGTCGCCGAACATGGCGTCAATGGTAATGATCATCAGATTTATCTCGATCCTAGGTAAGAGAGCCAGCATTATGCCACTTATACTCATAAAAGAGAGTACACAATGTTGACTTAGTTGATATAACATAGCCGTTGGTGGTTCGCTTCGGCTGCGTTCCCTATGATAGCCGGTACCTTAGGCCCTGTGGCTTCAGCTTTCAGTATATGTGCTCTGGTGAGGAATTGGAGACAGCATATTCTACCAGGATCCGATGTTACCAAGGCTGTTTTTATCGAGGATCCACCGTGGCTCTTAGCTGTGAACGCCGTTCAGCTGGTTATTGCTTTGGTTGCCAACGTGTTCCTCTTGCTGAACATGACCAAACGAGTGCGATTTTCCATCGCCCAACCCATTACCATAGTTGGTTGGTACATATCAGCCATCTGTCTTATAGCCCTATGTGCTACGGCAACCGGCCCGCTAGAGATTCAACCTGAGATTGAATACGTCTGGTCCCAAGCTTTCTACTATGGCATGTACGCAGCTATCATCTATTTCATAGTCGCGTCTCTCATGGTCATCACCGTCTGGGGCGCAGAGAAAGGTCATTATGCCAAGGATTTCGAGTTGACGATGAGCCAGAGGACGCTTATGCTTCAGACTATCGTATTCCTCATGTACCTTCTCGTGGGTGCTCTGATCTTCTCTACGATTGAGGGCTGGAATTATCTCGATTCTGTATATTGGGCCGATGTCACGCTTTTCACCGTAGGCTTTGGCGAAATATCTCCGCAGACCAGACTCGGTCGTGGTCTTCTCGTTCCGTATGCTCTGGTCGGTGTGATCAGCCTTGGTCTAGTAATTGGATCCATTCGAAGTATGATCCTTGATCGCGGCAAACACAGGCTCGACGCGCGGATGTTAGAACGGCAGCGACGTCTATCAATTCGACGTATGTTAAAGAAGGGCAACGCTGGTTTACTCGATCCCGTGGATGGTGAACCTTCGGACGAATCTTCGAGAGCTCATTGGACCGAATTTGAACGCCGACAAAAGGAATTCCAGTTGATGCGGAAGATTCAACGACAGGTACGTACAAAGGGGTCTGCTCCAGCCTTGAAACTATTCTCATACTAATCATGGGTAGTAAGTTCCAATACCCCTTTCTTCTACGTTGCTCCCGTAATAAGAAAAGCGGCTCGCGGGGGATTCCATTGTCATATATCGGGACTTTCTGATATCTACCTAGGTATAGGTAGATATATCTAGATAGCAAACATTTCCACGTCGTGGTTAGAAGCTAATATCTGGCAGAGCTTCAAAACGAGAACGATGGACTGCAATGGCAGTATCTACAACTACTTGGGTCTTGCTCTGGCTTGTTGGTGCTAAGATCTTCCAAGAATGCGAGGCCCCATATCAGGGATGGACCTACTTTGATGGCTTCTACTTCGCATTCACGGCTTTGACGACGATCGGATACGGTGATCTCACCCCGGTGTCAAACTCAGCCAAGACTTTCTTCGTCTTCTGGTCTCTCCTCGCCTTGCCTACAATGACGGTTCTCATATCGAACGCAGGCGACACCATCGTGAAGGGCGTCAAAGATGGCACACTTCTACTTGGAAATATCACCATCTTGCCTGGAGAGCACGGCTTCAGAAAGGAGATAAAACAACTACTAGCGAAACTATCTTGCGGGGTTCTATTTATGGACACTGATATTGAAGAAACTCCTCCGGGTTTCCTCGGCGCAGCTAACGAGCACGTAGATCACGACGAGGAAGATGACGAAGAAGACGATGGGGATGATGAAGAGGATGAGGACGAACGAGGACGTCCCTCTAACGCAAGCGAAGCAAATAACGTAGAGAGCAACGGCATAGCCGACAAGGACGCCGAGAAGGGAGAACTTGGGCCAACGTCTGTACCAACGATACGCTTCGCAACAGAAGAATCTTCATCTACATCTATATCCAAACCATCGCCTACCAAAAACGAATCACGATCAAGATCCATATCTCACAGCCGAGCCCCTTCGATAGCGAGAGAGAGCCTGCCCACCTCTCTCCCAAAATCCCGCGCCGAATACCACCTCGTCCTAATCGACGAAATTTCGCGCGTGACTAAGCACCTGCGCCACTCGCCGCCGCGCGAGTACACCTTTAAGGAGTGGTCAGTACATAGCCCGTCCCGCCCTACCCCTCAGCGACCCCGCCACGAGGCGTTGTCGCTTCGCCTCCCGTAGACTTCCAATGTACCCCGTACCACCTCGTACCCATACATGTAGTCAGCCATCGCGTATTTTAGCGTTTCCGAACTTGGACGCGCGGGATGGTTAAGGCAGTTGGTTGACTGGTCGCCGTGCTAACAAGGTGTATTTAGGGCGTGGTATCTGCGGCTCATAGGCGAAGACGAGGGCAACGCCGACAACCACCGCCGGCCC